ACCTCGACTTGATAGTAGCCATGCGCTGCGCCGACCTTCACGTAAACATGCAAGATGCTGCCGGTGACCGCACCCTAGCTGGCGAACTCCTGCGCAAAGACCCAACGTCATGGGCGCAATGGACCGGCAAGAACGCCGAGAGTGGGACACACGAACTGGGCAAAGACAAGAAAGTTGGATGGGACGATATCGAGGACGTACATGAGCAGCTGGGCAAGGCGCGGAAGAGCAAGTTCAGCAAGACACCGCGCGTGCGCGGACAGACTGATAGCTGCCGCATCTACGGAAGCATCATCGGCAACAAGGTGCAAGGCGATTTCCACATCACGGCTAGGGGCCACGGATACATGGAGTTTGGAGAGCATCTGGACCATTCCAGTAAGTCCAAAGAATCAAGAACCACGAAGATAACATTTGCTAACATCCACCAGCATTCAACTTCTCGCACATCATCCGCGAAATGTCCTTCGGCCCATACTACCCCTCGCTCGTCAACCCCCTCGACAACACCATCGCCGTAACACCCACGCCCCAAGACAAATTCTATAAGTTTCAATACTACGTCTCCATCGTTCCCACCATCTACACCGACGACGCATCCATGATCCCCTACCTCACATCCAGCACATCAGAAGAAGACACGCCCTTCTCAAACATGTTCCACACGACCCACGCCATCAAAACCAACCAATACGCCGTTACTTCACAGTCCCACAAGGTCGCTGAAACTTACGTACCGGGTATCTTCGTCAAGTTCGATATCGAGCCTATTCTGCTAGCGGTGGTGGAGGAGTGGGGCGGCTTCTGGAGGCTGATTGTTAGGCTGGTGAATGTTGTGAGTGGTGTTATGGTGGCGGGGAGTTGGGCGTGGCAGATGTTTGATTGGGCAAGTGAGGTTATGGGGAAGAGACGGAGGAGGGGTGATGGTGTGGGTGTGTTGGGGACGCCGTCGGTGGAGAAGAAGAGCTGGGATTAGACTGGTGGTTTTGATAGAGGAGGATGCATTTAATGGCGTTTAAGGTATGGGGATATGGGTATATGTTGGGCTACTTTTTGTGAGTAAAGTGACCTCCTTTGAACGAATTTATAAGCGCTGCGTACCGTGGAGTATCTGTATTGGCAAAATGACTTGTGGCGAATATTGGATCTTGAGATTGCGGGACTGCGCGATTGCGCTATGGTACGTGTTGCTTTTCGTGCCTTACAATCCGCCCCCCTTGCGTAGCTGACACTTCTGCATAGAACCCTGGAAGCAGCGCGTACTTCGACCCGTACGATCAGCTCCATCAAATGAGAAGTATCGCCAGTTCAGGAAACAGCGCGCACTTCGACAAACGCTCCAGCCGACCTCTCTCCCACCTTCTCCCTCTTTCATTCGTTGCTTGGCGGTTTGTGCTACAAGGCGCTAGGCTGTATCTCACTTGCTCTTGCACCACCTTCGTCGGTCTTTTGATTGTTTACCTCCCCACAAAATACTTACAAACGACCACATCGCTATCTATTCTCTACCCTCTTTGGCCGAGAGTTCTACCACCAAATACTGACGAGCGAACGAACGCACCAAAAACTATCTTTATCGCAGTCCAACTCGACTTGACTACACCCCGACTATGGCGTCGCCAACTCCACCGCAAGATCAGGGTGATTCGCGAGATGAAACCGAGGAGGAGCGAAACGATCGGATAAGGGAGGACCTTCGGGCTCGAATGGTAAGTTATGGCTATACGAAGTGCATGTGAGACATATACTGACTTCGTACCCCTACCTCTGCAGCCTGCTATGGCTGGTCTTGACCGTCGTGGGGAATTGTCGGTTTCGGAAGCAGATGCCGGCGAGATACAGCAACGTTCACAACAAGATACTAGGCTTCGGAATAGCTCGCGCCTGATTCGTGCAAGGGACGCTTTCGAGGCTCGCCTCGGTAGTCAGACTGCGCGCGTCGCTCCCAGTAATCCGACCGTCACTGAAGCAGAGGGTCAAGGAGCCACCACTACACCGCGCCCAGATTCACCTCTACCTGCGCCACGGTATAGGCAGATAGGTCCAACAGAGAACGCCAATGAGCTACACGTTCCTCAGATTCGACCTGTCACAGAGCGAACTAGATGGTCAGACCCAACCTTGGAGTCGCGTCTAGCGTCAGTCAGTCGTATTCAGAACATATTGAACCCTGAGCCAGCTGAGACTCCCCGGCCTAAAAGCCATATGCCCACTCTGCGGTCTCAACCAGAGTTCTACATGACCGGAGTCATAGCCGTCGACACTACCGCAGAGCCTCTTCCCGAGAACGCGGAATGTACGATTTGCCTTGAACCTCTCTCAGACGACGTGGTCAAGTTCCACGCTTGCGGCCACATGTTTCATACCGTCTGTGTACAGAGCTGGTTCGATCAGAGCGCCCCGCGTACGGGTGGGAAGCGAGGTACTTGCCCAAACTGTCGACATGAGCTGTACGAGCCAGATCCGCAATTTCGACGTTCACATGCGCAGCGAACTCCTCGTGCAGAGCCGGCGCATCCACACATGCCTGCGCCACTACGTCTTACTACAGGGGACGTAGTGGATGTGATGCATCCGGCGCTACCTCGCACTGGAGTGACTCCACCGACGGATGCTCCCCGACTTGCTGTTAGTTCCGAACGTGAATCTCGTCTCGCGCAGTTCGTGGCTGATCACCGAGAACGTGTGAGAGCGCATGACCAGCAAGAGCAGCAGGCTGGCAATGCTCCAGCCACAGCTCTAGATCGAAGGTTTGTAAGCGTCACTCGAGTACCTCATGTCGCTCCCGGATCTCACTTACCTGGATACGCGCCTCATCGCATTGAGTCATCGGAGAGCCCCCGAGGCGGTACGATGGAACGAGATTACCCTAACCTTCCTAACGCGGCATATGGTAGTCGGCAGCCAATCAGTCAGAACCAAATGCTTGAATATCAGCAGATGTTAAATCAACAGCGACAGAATGCATCCAACAACTCGCGATTCCAAACACTTGGTCGTTCAGCGGCCAGTATAGCAATGACTGATGCATTGCGCCGGCCTACTACATCCGCTAGAGAACCAGAAACTGGACATAGACCGTCAGATGTAGCGGAGCCGGACGAACATTCTGATGCCGATGATATTTCCTATCCAACATTCATCCCGGAACGACCTCCAACATCAACATTTCAATCTAACGGACTCTCGGATCAACCACGCGAGTCTCGAGCCGATCTAGCAGCACGTGCTATCGCGGAGCGCCGCCCCCTGTCAGAAGTACCAGGCCTCAACACCGGATTTGCAGCTATCCCACCTCTTTCGCCACAAGAGGCTGCACGACTTGTCAGAATCCGCGAGTTACCAGGGTCAGGGCTGGATCTAGCTACGCGCACTACTGATCAACTCCGAGACGAGCAGGTCATGTTGTTGGATCGTCTCCGTGCGGTACAAACACAGATAGGCCGAAATCTAGAAGCATCTGGAGAGCGTGCAGTGAACGCCGCTGAGCGAAGGGAACAGATACGAGCGATGGCCTGGAATAACCCACAAACTGCACATCTACACGGTGGGCCGGCGCCTGGGCCGCAGGATAGCACTGCGCATCGGCCGCCGCCAATCGCGATTCCTCGACTTGCCGACCCATCGGTTACTGACCTACGGTCATCTCGCGAGCCTCCTGATCCAAGAGCTATAGGCACAGGAAATACTATATGGTCGACGGATAGTAATACTATATGGTCGACGGACTATCCGCCACCGTCAGATATGCGGTATATACTTAACCGCTATCCGGCTTCGGATGGATCGTTAGGGTCATCAGATTATGTATATCCTTCCCCTCCAGGTTTCCACCGCGACGTCTCAAGAGTCCACAGCCCACTCTTTCCTTTCTCTCCAGACGGTCCCCGCACCGCCACTAACAGCAACATGCTGTACAGACGAAACTTCAACGATGAACGATTTACATTGCCTACGTTGCCTGCTTTGACTACGCGCTCTGATACCGTAGCTGCTGCTCAGCCTGCTTCTGAAGGCAACCAGAATGCAGCCGCGGAAGACTCAAGGTCAGTACAACATCCACGTCGCGTATCTAGCACCGTCGTGAGGCACATGCATGATGACTCACTACCCCTCAGGGACGCATCAACAGATTCTACTGCCTTCAGGCAACGTTCCCGGGGGCGTCCTAGGCCGGTTTCTATCCAATGGGAAGCACAAGAGGCCACTGCATCAGATACACAGCGCCTTCGTTCTCGTGAAGCACGGTCTGAATCGCCCCAAGAAGATGACAACAGCACCGATGTCCCTGAGGCATCAAGCTAGACTTGTTACGTTGAGATATCAGGCATGATAGAAAGAGGAGAATGATGAGGGCGGTTTGGGCGATTTGGGTACGATTGAAGCTTGAGCGCGTTCGAAGAGACAATGCATAAGACCCCTTGAGCTTTCAAGTGGGGTGAAAAGAGAATGTTCATGATGCAGCTAGTTTTAATGATGGGTTGTTGGCTATCAGTGTTTGGCTTACCTCAACGGGGTCATCAACGGTTTGATGTAGACATCGAACAGATACAATAGAAATCATTGATCAAATGTCTGGTTTGCCAGCCCCGGTTCCTGATTAACGTCGCGAGTGAAGGCCTGAGGACGCGAAAGCCCACATCATCGTGACAGGTATTTCACCCAAGACCGCAGGAGAAGCAGTGAAAGTAGTAGGCCATAGATCTTGCCCATAGGAGTTTGCATTGTGAATGTCCATCTCGCCACAGTGCTGTACAGCCACAATCCAATGCTGTTCACAGTCTGATAAAGAGGAGCCTATATTGTGTGATTCCCGCCGGGTTTCAACAGAGAATCTCCTCAACCCACACTCGACTCTCCAGTCCCACCCGATAGTTTCAACCAGCCCAGCCGTGAACATGGACTCCTACGTCGGGCGTAGAACTCCGGAGCCTAGTGATACATCGTCGTCTACCAACGAGCGTGCTGTCCCACAGACCAACACCACACCGCCGTCCAACATGCCCGCTCTCCGCAGCCAAGGAGAGTTCTTCATGACCGGCATCGTACCAGCAGGTCCCCAGCCCGAAGAATCAGACTGCTCAATCTGTGCCGAACATCTCGCCGAGGATGTGGTACGAATAGCTCGCCCATGCGGCCACATGTTCCATGCTGTCTGTCTACTCACCTGGCTCCAAGGCGATGGACGACGAAACCGCACTTGTCCCAACTGCCGCTGTGAGCTATATGCGGCGCCAGCTCCAGCACCATCGAGCTATGCTCGCACCCGAGAAGGTATCATGGAGCGGAGAATGCAGGCAGAACGCCAGGCCTTCAGGCGTGCAGGAAGAGTTGAGGAAGGTGACCTAAGATTGGCTCAGCTCGCTTTGGGACGACAGACTGCCGCGACCCGCACATCGGTTCATACGGAACCGGTAAACTTTGATCGTCGCAACATCCGTTCTGCAAATACACCAGAGTCCATCAGGGGATGGGCAAGGCGAACCCAAGCTGAGATGTCTAGACAGATGACTCCGGAAGATAGGGAACTCATGCGAAGGCTGAGACAGACTGCTCAGGAACGAGAGCAGGAACGAGAGGATGAAGAGGCCCGCACAGCGCTTGATAGGATCCCGCCCGGTGCAGATCGTATGTTATTCCGGTCTGTGGGCACACCAACCTGGAGAAGTAGTATGGAGGAGGCACTTGAAGATGGGGACCCTGAGCGTCCCACAGAAAATAGGAGGAACACTTTGCAAAGAATGTCACAGATGGTTCGGGATGGAGAAGCCCCAGAAATCGAAGAGCTAATTCGTAGGCAACCGGCTTACCACGCCTTAGGTGGTGCGCCTGTAGCCAGCTCCGCCGACCAGACAACGGCATCGGGAAGAGCAGAAGAACGGACTAGACTGCAATCTAGGCATGACTTAGCGGTGGCTGAAATGAGACAACTGGAAGCAGCCCGTCTTCAAGATGGGCTCCTACACGACAGTGCCGAAGCAGCAGCACTCGAGCGAAACTTGGCAGATCTGAATAGAATCAGGCGTGACAGCAGACAGCAACTTCAACAGTTGGATAGACGGGCTGCTGGAGAAGACAGCTCGTCAGATGATTCGGTTCCCAGTATCAGGACGCCCAGACGCCAACGCATGGCAGCTAGACGGGCTGCTGGAGAAGACAGCTCGTCAGATGAATCGAGTCCCAATATCAGGGCACGCATACGCCAACGCATGTTAGCTAGACAGGCTGCTAGAGAAGACAGCTCGTCGGATGCCTCGTCAGATGTCCCCAGCATCAGGATGACACGCATTGAAGCTATGGCGAACCTACGAGCCGCTGAAGAAGCCAGATCTCCACATAATTCGAACCTCAGCAGCCGACTTGCTGGTGCCGCTGCGGATTTGGATTTAAGCAGAGCGAGGACAGCACGAATAGAGCAAGACATCCAGACACTGCTAGATGGAGCCTCAAGGGGACACACCAGCCAGACGCCAGAATCCTCAGCAACCAACAACATTCCTCCACAACCTACGCAGTCTGCGGCTCGAGGTCTTTCAAATGGGAGAACCATATACCCGGATCCGCCGCGAAACACCACCGAACCTATCGCCCCAGCACGCGATATCGCGCCGAGTAGATTAGCACGAGCCCGTCGTGTCGCATTGCTGGCCGGTCGTGGTGACGATGTCCCAGAAGAAGAGATCGCCGAGTATTATGGCTTTCCTGGTCTGACTCAGCTGCACGATGAAGCCACTTTTACACGCATGTCGAACTTGGCGCGCCTGCGCGTTCGCGCTCAAGCTGCTGCTGAGCTGGCCACTGTGGACATGATGAATGAACAGGATGATGAGATTCGAAACTTGTTTTGGCCCGGAAGGCAAGCCAATGACAACAATTGATGGTGTAGCTTGTTCGACGTATTGATGCGTTGTCGGTTTTCCTTTGCTCTTTAGATGGATCCTTGGGTATATAGCTTGCCTCGACTGAATAACTCTTTCCCTTGTGTACTACCCCCCAGTATTGTTTTGTTCCTCCCGTGATACTCCCTTCTACTTCAACACCCACTCTCTTTCCCCCTCCTTCACATCCACAACATCACGTTCGTTTTTAATCCACTTTGCCTCCCCGTACGGCCGCACAACAGCCAATACCTTCGCCTTGACCAACGCCAACGGCAGCGGTCCAAACAGTCTACTATCCCTACTCCATTCCAGATTGTCGCCTTGTACCCAACAATGTCCTTCTGGCACTCTTATGACCTCTTCCCTTACGCTCGCCCATTTCCCCTCATGGTCCACCGCGTGCACGTCGTCTTCCCCGCGACCAGGCGTGACTATGCTGACGAAGTCGCCCGGCATCCCAATGATGCGCTTACACCCGCTCTGTTTGGGAAATATGGGATGATTATAGGTTATGATGTCACCAACGCGGAGGTTGCGACCGCGACGATGAAGCGACGAGTATAGTATCCACGGGTGGCCCTTATAGTGATGGGGGATCGTAGGCACCATAGAGATGCCGCTGGTGGAGGATATGCCGCCAATGTAGGAAGAGCATACGTGGAGGAAGACAAAGCCTTTTGCGACGGTGAGCGCGCTACCTACTGGGGTATTAGCAAATCGATTCGGAGCATAGTGTTGCAGGTACTTGCGGCCTAGGGTTTGGACAAAGCCGGAGCGGTTGAGGGTGCTCCATGGTGGCGGCATTACAATCGGATCCTGAGCTTTACTATCGCTCTAGCATCTTTTGTCTGTGATGGCGTGCCCGCGGCGGTCCACAATGCTGGCGCGGTGTTGTTGTTAGACCATCATCGAGGTCAAAGATGCTGACCTGTGGTGGCCTTCTTGCATGGGAAAGAGCTATCGGGTTTTCGGAAGTTCCCGTCGGAGGACTTGGCATCGGCTGGAGGTCGTATCAGCCGACATCCCTTCATCGTCAGTACCGATTCCGCGTCATAACAGGGATTTTGCGTCGCAATGCCCCAGGCAAAGCCACTGCATTTCACCAATCGTCTTACGTGTTGATCTAGCTAACTCTCGTTAGAAGTTCGACACTTGGCCAAACCTAGCAGATAGCTTCATCCGGAAATTGGAACGAGATTGAAACGGGCAATTGCTTGCTCGGTTGCTTCGCAAGTATGAGGACCGAATAGTATTGGTATAACCTTATGTTTCCGGAGCTCGGTGGACTTGGCATGTAGTGCTGGCGGAGTGCTTGTATAAGATGTAGTACGAGGAACCCGGAGGTATAGTCGCAAAAGAGCAACTGACTGAAAACATGCTTTCAACATCTCTACTATTTCTGTTCGTATCGAACGCCATCGCTGATTTCGTTGATCCGCGAGACCATCTGGTCAATCGACAACACCAAACCTTGCAGGACTGCCTCCACGCAAAAGCCGTCCCGACTACTCTCAATTCCTCCTCAGATTGGACTTCTCTCACCACCGCATTCAACCTCCGTCTCCAGTACACCCCAGTGGCCGTGACAATACCAGAAACTCCGCAGCAAGTTTCCGATTCGATAACATGCGCAGCTGCAGCTGGCATCAAAGTTCAGCCCCGGTCTGGGGGACACTCGTACGGGAGCTACTCTCTCGGCGGCAAGAATGGTAGCTTGACGATCGATTTGCAGAAGTTTAACGAGGTATCTCTGGATAAAGGCAGGTAGCTTACTCGTTTCTTCATGATCTTTGCTAACAAATCACAAGGTACTGGTATCGTTCGAGCGGGAGGCGGCGTGCGTCTCGGAAACCTCGGACTGGGTGTATACAAGCAAGGTCAGGCTGCACTGCCTCACGGTACATACCCGGGCGTTGGCATCGGAGGGCACTATACGCATGGAGGCTTCGGATACTCTTCTCGTCGCTGGGGTAAGTACCGCTGTTTTACAAATATATGTAACGACTCTAGCTAATCGCGATGTTGTTTAGGGCTTGCACTCGACACGATCGTGGCAATGGATGTCGTACTGGCGGACGGAACTCAACTTCACGTCACACGCACAACCCATCCCGAACTCTACTACGCTCTGCGTGGAGCTGCAGATAGCATCGGTATCGTGACTACCTTCTACCTGCAGACCCAGCTCGCCCCGGCACAGATCGTCAGCTACTCCATGAACTTCACTTCCGCGCTGAAGTCTTCAACTTCCGTCGCCGACGTCCTTCTCCAGTTGCAGAAGTTTGCCCAATCTTCTCCTCTCATGGACCGTAACATCACACTTGAGATCTACATGAACATATTCGGCACCTTCGAAGTCCGAGGCTGGTACTTTGGCGATCGCACACACTTCTCCAGCGCCGTACTTACCGCCATGCTTGAGGGTTTGCCCAAGGCCGACAACACAACGATCGCGACCAGAAACTGGCTCGATGCGCTGCAGGATATCGCAGAAGGCGAACCTCTCGTTGAGCCTTTGACTGGCTACAACAACCACCAGACCTTCTACACCAAGTCCATTGTTACAAGGGAGGCAAAGCCACTTACACGGCGCGCACTGGAGAGCTTTGCTGGGTATGTCATTAGTAAGGGATTGAGCGCAGAATCCCCATGGGAGACGTATATCTCGCTGTATGGCGGGAGGGATAGCCAGATCAATGTTCCATCGCCTGATAGTGCGGCGTATTCGCATCGCGATTCGCTTTGGGTCTTTCAGGTAAACTCCTCTCCCCTCCCTTCAGACAACACTTATTGGTCAGTATCCTCTAAGCAGCTAGCTAATATCGGTTATTGATAGAATATCGGTTCCTCGGCCAATATGCTTCCGCCTTTTGAGTATGGTATCATAGCGTTCGTGCAAGGCCTCAATACCGCTTTGACAGATGCACAGCCAGATGGCGACTTTTTGGCGTACCCGAATTATCTGGATCCAGAGCTGACACCAGCGGAGGCGCATCGATTGTACTATGGTGATGCGACTTATGGAAAGCTAAGTGCGATTAAGAAAGTGGTAGATCCAAATGAGGTATTTTGGAATCCACAGGCGATTGGGAACTAAGTACCTCTTCTCCAAATTTTTGAGTGCCTCAACTCGGCCACATCGTCAACCGCGGTGCGAAAATATTATCCTATTCTTATCGTATAACTTTACAGTACGTAAATTATACTCCAAAAGCGCGCACTTTGTGCAAAACACCATGATCTGAGTACAACACAAAAGCTAGTCCCAAAAGAGCAAGGTCCGTTGCTAGTAAGACCTTAACCCCGATAACGCATCCCACTTCACGAACTTTGCGCGACTTTGTGAACGCGCAAACATGGGTCAGACTGGAGATGAAGTGATGGGACTGAATAGTCCAGAGCAGGCTGCTTTGCGGTGAGTGTGTCATGGATGAGATCATTGTGCTCTCTCTTACTGATCGTGTGTGAAGGCCTGCACCAACTGGTCTCGATGCGGAAGGAACATTGCAAGATGCTGTAAGAGGTGCTTCCTTTTCCTCTTCATACTATCAACCCCATATCATTCTATTGTCTGAGTGCTTAAAAGCACGATGCAAATCGCGCGGCTAGTTCCTCTGGCGATTTCTCATTCTCACATCATATGCCACAGACGTCATACTGAACATGGAGCGTTTCGATGTATCTTACGATCTTGCATCGCCACTAATACTCATCTCAATCAGACGTGATAACATCCTACCACGATCTCAACCCCTCAACAATCGACATCCTCACCACTGAACCCTCACCCCTACAATTCATGCGCCACGTCGCCCGCAACCGCCCCTTCATCGTCCGCAACGGAGCCAAAGACTTCAAAGCCAGAAAAACATGGAACGCCTCGTACCTAAAAACCGTGATGCAAGGCCAGAACGTCAACGTAGCAATCACCCGGCACGGAAACGCCGACTCAGTCGTCTCCCTCCCGTCAGATGGCGCGATATTCGTCAAACCGTATGAGACTGAAGAGCCCTTTGAAGACGTCCTCAACAAGATCAAACAACAAGAGCAAGAAAAAGGATACAGCGGCCCAACACGCTACGCGCAAACCCAAAACGACAATCTACGTAACGAGTACTCCACGCTCTTCGCCGACGTACCCAAGAGCATACCGTTCGCACGCATAGCACTTGAGCAAGAACCCGACGCCATCAACTTCTGGCTTGGAAACTCGTATTCCACGACTGCTCTGCACAAAGATAATTACGAGAACATCTACGTTCAGGTTCTGGGGCGGAAGCATTTTGTTCTTTTGCCGCCTGTAGAAGCGGGCTGTGTTAATGAGAAGAGCGTCTTAGCTGCGACTTATACTCCCAAAAGGGAAGATGGCTCGTCTTCTAGTGCGCTTGAGCAAGATGATCTGGTTATCAAGGTCGATGAGCCGGAGGAATATGTACCTTTCGCAACGTGGGATCCAGATCAGCCTACCACGAACATTACCCCTTACTCCCAATACTCGCAGCCACTCCGAGTCACGCTGGAAGAAGGCGACATGCTGTACCTACCCGCACTATGGTACCACAAAGTGAGCCAGAGCTGCAACGAAGAAGGAATCTGTTGCGCAGTGAACTACTGGTATGATCTCGACTTCAGCGGCGGGTTTTGGAGTACCGCGAATTTCGTGCGGACCGCCGGGTTGCTGAGCATGGGAGACAAGACTGTAGTACAGGGACAAGACGAGAGATGATCATAGTGTGTATACCAACAAAAGAAACAAACTGTACTACGATTAGGGGTATCTCTAGGATCTACAGTGACAATCGAATCCAACGCCATGCCAATGCTTCTCTAAATCTCATCTTCGTCTACTGTCAATGCTTGATCTTGACTTTAATGCCCACGCCCCTGGCGCTCTGCCATACACTGTCGCTAACTTTGACGGGCAACTTCCGTCCTTTGAGTCTCTGGTCTATCAACCACAAACCCACGACGAACTCGTATCTGCTCAACCTTCCCAC